CCGGCCCCCTTCTCCCTTCCCCCTATAAATAGAGGGGTGAGGGGAGGGCAGCCGGACCACCCTCCAAGGCGCAGCCCTCCCCTCCCCAACACCTCTCCTCCTCCGTTGTGTGCTTGGCGAAGCCCTGTCGGAGTACTGCCTCTCCACCATCACCACGCCGTCGTGCTGCCGGTGGAGCCTTGGAGGGTGGTCCTCAACCTCTCCTTCCCCCTTGCTGGATCAAGAAGGAGGAGACGTCTCCCGTCCCGTACGTGTGTTGAACGCGGAGGTGCTGTCCGTTCAGCACTTGGTCATCGGTGATTCGAATCACGTCGAGTACGACTACATCATCACCTTGCAAGCTTCCGCACGCGATCTACAAGTGGTATGTAGATGCAAACTCTCTCCCTTGACTCGTTTCTTAGATGAACTCATAGATGGATCTTGGTGAAACCGTAGGAAAAATTTTAATTTTCTGCAACGTTCCCCAACAGCTGGTTCACCACATATTTAAGGTACATTTTGTCTTGCTCCTGCTGTGTGACATACTGACCTGCTGCACATCCGCGTGAAGCACATCCACCCGCTGCCGGAGGCGTCCCGTGCCCACGCTGACTTCAAGGCCCGGAAGACGCCGGGCTCCATACTGCTGACCCAATAGAACTAAGCACCGTCATCTTTTTTGGGTAGGAGAAGAAGGCATAAATAGGGGACTCGGCGAAGAATCTACAATGCTTGTCAATATGTTCGCATCTGAACATTGAATCCTCTGTCTCTCTGTTTCTCCTGGTTATGTTGGATTCAGTATGAATGAGTGTGTTTGTTGGTTATGAGTTGGATTGTGGTCTTGCTGTGCACATCATTGTTTGAAGCATGACGAGTTGTAAAGACCAACATTTTTCAATATAGTGACCTAGCAGGACAATTATTTCCCTCAGTTTGTATATTTTTTATATTCATGTCAAGTTATACACTAGACTAATTATAACAACATGTCAAGCTTATAAGGCATGGCGAGTTCATGTCAAGCACCTACAACTTGGTCGTCAACAAGTCGATAACATCACATGCTTGGTTTTAGAAATTAAAGTAACAAGCGCAAACACCAATCCACTGGTGCACCACAAGGCGGCATCAGCGTTGCCAGGTGAGAGGCTGTGGTGGATCGTTGCTAGGAATTGGTTTGGTTGTGTCAGGTGTGTGCGTGCAGCAAGCCTCTCTGGCCACCTACCCCGGCATTGGGGTTAGACGGAAGATGGGTAATTAAACAAAGATATATGTGAAATTGTAAAATCAAGTGATTTTCTCGCATTGTAAAGTCATTTTGTTTCACCCGTTGCAACGCACGGGCACGTTTACTAGTTATTATTAGGTAGAGATTAGGGAGAGATTAAGACCATTAGGAATATATATTTTTTTGCACGAAAACATCTGATCTATTTAAAAAAACATCAGAAATAATAAAAATTGCATCCAGATTCATAAACATATCCATTTGTGATAATGATAGGTTATAAACCCAAAACATATTGTTACTTATTTGGTTGATGGACCAAATTATTTAATAGTTACTCCGCGATAATTTTTTTGAATAATAAGGTATTCCCTCCGTCCGGAATTACTTGTCACCGAAATGAATAAAAATGGATGTATCTAAAAATAAAACATGTCTACATACATCCATTTTTTGACAAGTATTTTTGCACGGAGGGAGTACTTAAATACCATGATCTACCGGTTGTCTGCCGCTATAAAAGCTAGTCTCGTTCTCTCCCTAGAGAAAGCACAGCCCATGCCCTCCGAGCGACCACGCTGCCACCACTGGCACCTGTGAGCGAGGACGCCATCCAACTCCCGCTGCCGGTGGTCTCTAGTTGATTCCGCTGCCGGGATCCATCTCTCTCCCCACATCATCATCCTCTCTGTGATGTTCCTCTGCAAATCGATGCACACATACTAATTGCTGAACCCCTTACGTTTCTCTCAGATCTTCGTTTTGCACTTTTGCTTCACTTGTTGTTTCTTGATATACTCCTGTGTTTGATGGAGTGCTGCCTGCTATTCTGTGGGCATGGGCATGCTCACGAGCAGCGGCTGCCCTCCGGTGACGGCCATGGCCGAAGAGCCCTTCGGCCTGAAAAAAACTGGCAGGGAACTGCTACCCCACCCCATCACCCCCGATTGCCATCACTACTCTGCTCGCAGACCCCTCTTCTGCTTTCTCCTCCAACCCTTAAACCCCAGCCGGCCCGTCGTCGCCGTAGTGCCTCGCCTTGTCGTCTCTCCGGTACTTCGTCCATGGCAACAAAGCATCACGTATCGGCCGTGATCTTTGATCTGGACGACACCCTCCTGGACACTGGTACACACATCCGCATAATCTCCTTCTGGAAGAAAACACTGGGACTAATTTCCAAAATGGAATATGTAAACGATGGTGTGTGCGTGTGTGTTGATGCAGAGAGTGTAACAAGAGGCATCTTGAACGATTTCCTGGCGACATATGGGAAGACAGCAGATGCGGGGAAGGAGGAGGGGAGGCTGGGGCAGAGTCACAGGGAGTACGCGGCTGGGATCATCGCAGATTACGGGCTGCCGCTCACTCTCGAGGAATACTCAGAGGCAATATTCCCCTTGTACCTCAAAAGGTTTGTTTCATTTTGGCACGTTGATCAAATCTGCAATGTCATGTTCATCCCAACTCCTTTTTTTGTTTGCTCGTATGTTCATCACAACTAACCACTTGGCTTGGTGCTACTGTTGTCCAGCTGGCAGAAGGCAAAACCACTTCCAGGGGTTAGAAGACTTCTCAAGCATCTTCACAAGAATGGAGTACCGCTGGCACTTGCTTCCAACTCCTAGATGAAAATTATCGATCAAAAAATTCTGAAACTAGAAGGTTTGTGACGTAGAAGTAGATACCCTTTTTTAAAAAGAGGATGATCCCGGCCTATGTACCATGTGTAGCCATTGTGGTACTGATATAGGGTTTGGTTACCCATGCGCGCACACCCAAAAACTATGGGGGTTCGGCACTGTACCTTACCTACCAATGATCAGTCATCAAAATTCAAACGTGAGCCAAACGTCCGAATGGTGTGAAAGTAAACGCATGCATCGATTTGATCCAAAGACTGGAGAATAATAAAGCTCTCCTTTATCTTACAAATATTGGAATGATACACAAAGTTGAAGCACAAGGCACGGCAAGATATCAAACACCGTGTTGAAGTAAAATCAAATCAAAATGTTGTGTTGAAGCAAAGACCCTCATCTTAACCGAAGCTTTTTTTTATAATAGCAAGAAAAATGGTACACAAACGATGAGCTTTGCCCGATTTCTAGACGACAAGATATAGCAGCAATTGATCATCTCGGTTCACGTGGGCTGCAGCCATCGATCACAAGGTCGTATGAAAATCGTCCTGCAAATTGTCACGTGCACAATAATTTTGTAATAGCAATACCAAACCCTAGCGCCGCCACCACAAATTTTGCCTCCACCCTCTCCGCCGCCGCTGGAGGACGCCAGCGGCCGATGCCGCGCGGCTGACGGCGGCGGCGGGGATCCTTGCTCGCGACTACGGGCGGCACTCGGGCACGGCGGGTGCTACTCAGCGGTCATGTGCGTCGGCCCGCGAACTGCAGCCCAGATCCGCCGGTTGCCGCTTCCTCGCCGGCGTCCTGAGGCTCGGCGCGCGGGCGCCGTGCTGCGAGCTGGTGGTGGAGTGCCTCCTGCGCGCGCGCACAAGCTCTCGGATGCTGCTTTCCGCGGTCTGCCCCATGGCTTCCCCTGCTCTGCTTCGCTCCTGTGGCGCTCTGAAGCAACCGGTGGACGCAGCGCCGTGTTGCGCGCTCCAGTGGGCGTCCAGGTCACGAGGCCGTGCCATCCGCGCACGGATCCGTGCTGGCACGTGGGGTCGTCTCTGGGTTGCATCCCGGCGGAGCCGCCGTCCCCTGCCGTGGTCGGCTGGACGAGGTGGTGGCTGCGCCGTGGAGCTGGTGGTGGTGCGGTGCGGTGCGCCTGGTCCCAGATGCGCCGGGGCAGGCTGGATCCTCTCGAATCTGCCCTCGGGCGTGGCGTCGAGTCAGGGGAGCTGCGGAGTGAGGTGCGACTGGAGCGGCCGGCGCGTCGGCTCCAGATCTGTCAGTGGTCGCAGTTTGCCGAGGTTCCCGTCCCCGATCTGGCCATCTTCGCGGAGGTCGGTCGTGGGATGCTGCTCGGCGGCTTGGTTGGCGCTGCCAGCTGTGTTGGTGGATGTGTGGCTTGCTTCTGGCTTGGGGTTGCCGGTCGTGATGGCGGACGGCACGGGGGCCGTCTCGGGTCATGTGCGGCGGTGCTCTGGGAGAAATCCCTGCTCACCCCTTGGGTGAGCTGACCACGACAGCGCCAACCCGGCGTCGTATTCCTTCCTAGAGGCGTGGTCTCCGAGCTCTTCCGCGTGGATCTGCTTCGGCGTGGTTCAGGCCTCTTGCTGTAGGGATGTGCTCAAACTTCGGGTGAGAACCTTGCATCGACTATGTCGATGTCGGCGGCAGCGGCGACTATGGACGTCGTCTTCCTCGCAGGAGGTGCCGCTGTGGAGCTCCAGCACCTACGGCACTTGCTTTGTGGTCTCCGGGTGAAAACCTGAGATTTGGCTCGCCGGATCGGATGATGGTGTTGTGTCTTCGACAACACTACCTCCTTGGAGGCGTCATCTTGAAGGCCCAACGACGGCTCCGGTTGCCGTGCGTGGTGGTGGGTGGTGCGGCCAGCTTAGGGCCGACGGTGGTGTGTTTCTTCTTCATGTGTTTCTCTTCGGCTGTCCTTCGTGTGGTCTCCGTCCTGTTGCTGTGCATGCTCAAGACCCTCCCATGGTTGCCGTTGTGCTGCGGCGAGCTTCGGGCTCTTGGTGTTGTCTTGGTTCACCTTTGCTCAAATGACGACGCAATGATGCCTCCCCAACCTGCTAATCGTTTCGACCGCCTGTGGTGGATCTCCCAGTCAAGGTTCGTGTTAAGGTTTGGCACTCGTTGATTATGGTTGATCCTCAGTTGTGCCGTGGGGCTCGGTATGCACGCCGGTGCGGTGCGTTAGGTTGTTTGCAGAGTCTTGGTATTGTGATCTCTCGACAGCACCCCACATCTACTTGTGTCTCTCGTGGTGTTGGTCTTTTTGCCTGCTAGCTAGGTTGATGTCATGCCTTCTGTGGGTGGCAATTTTTTCTCATCTTCTGTAACCTTGTTACCTGTACGGTTTTCGGCCCGGTTTCCCTCATAAACGGGGTCAACTTGTTTAGGTTTTTGATCCGGTTTTTCTTATAAACTGGATCAGCCAAAGCTTAAGGGGTGACTCTTGGCTTTGGCAGCTTTTTGAGCAATATATTCAGGTGGGGATCCTCTCCCCCCCGGTGACCGTTCAAAAAAAAATAAGTTGGCATGACCAAAGGAAAATAAAAATCTTCAATATATATTAAATATAGATTTTTCTTGAAGAAGATATGATTTTTTTTCACAGGGAAACATTAGTGGGGAGTCATGTTGTATATATTTTTATAAAAGAAGGGAGAAAATCCCTTTTTTCTCCTTGGATGTTCGTGCCAGTGATTACCACGTCGAAAAGTCCTCCCATTTTCCAATTAAACAACTATCTTACATTTTAGCATGTTTATTCATGTTTCTCTAGATTTTCTACACCCCTTAGGGAGCTAGAGCAGGGTCATGGGCTCTTTCTTTGTTGCAAGCTCGGAGGTGTGATAGCATGAGGGAGAAAGCGATAGGGGAGGGTAGACAGCAAGAGATGGTGATCTATAGTTTTTTTTTATCACAGTAAATACGCAGATGCTCACATATGGAGAGAGATATAGTGCATGATGGACTAAGAGAGGGAAAATGTTAGTGGTAAAAAGACAAGCACTCATTCGAAAAAATATACTTGTGAGGGTTCCCTCCTCTCATCTAACAAGGTCGTCGTTCTCACCCGCCTCTGGTCACCACCTAGGAGTGGGGATGTGGAGGGAACTCGGCTCTTTGTTCAATGTGTAGTCCCATTTCGTCTTTGTCTTTGTTCTCATGTCGCAGCGACGATTTTGAGGTGGTGGCGGCATCATGTCGATGGAATAAGTCCCTCCATGCATCCTTCTCCATGCCGCGCCGATGTTCGCCCATCATTGCTGATGAGCCTATGAGGGCCCAGTCCCATCGATTTGAGCAACCAAATATATTGTGCAGACTATTAGGAGTTCGTTTTCGCCAGGTGCTTCTCCTCTAGAATGTGGCGGCAATTTGAATTTTAATATTCTAGTGACTTTCTCTTGCCATTGATGTTTTGTTGGTTTCCGGAGGCGTGCCAGAAGGGTTGGCAGATCTAGTTGGGGATGGCAATGAACTTTTGTTTCACTTGGTGTGCAAGGTGGTTGGTTCAGCGCAATCCTCGTGCTCTTCAAGAGTGGTGGCCCCAAACCTAAGCACCGACAAGGTTGGGGCATGATCCCAATAGATATTCATCTATAGTAGCTTTATTCCGTCTGTAGGGGCAACCAATCCGCAGGGAAGCCGCTTTGCTTGTGGTCGTCAAAAACCACGAGGCGCATGGAGTTTTGTGGATGATGTTTTTCTTTCAGAATAAATTGTCTTCGAAGGGGACTCTTGTGACTCAAGTTATCATCGGTAGTCCTGAATGATATAGTTTATAGATGCATAAAAGAATATTCAAGCAATAATTTAGTGCTAAGTTTTTGTATGCGGTGATCATCTAATGAAAGTCCTTATTTTGCAGAACTGAAAGACTGTTTTTCCGTGGTTCTTGGTGTTGATCAGGTTCCTCGTGGAAAACCTTGCCCTGACATGTACGAACGTTTTTCCATAACTTACAATAGAAAGACTGGGGGAGTATCATTTTCTCACATGACTTAAAGATCCTAAGGCCCTCTTTGATTCAAAAGATATCCGCAGGATTGTAATTCTTAGATACATTTTGTATGTATTATTAGTACGATTCAATGTTACAGAATCCTTCTCCAAATATTTCTGTGCACTACATTTCACAGAAGATTTCATTCACTTAAAAGAATCATTTTTTTGTGGTGCAATCAAACAGTTTTTGGTGTAAATAAAATTGTTTAAGATTAGAATAGAAATGACTTGGTAATCCTGTGTTTGTTTTTTCTATTCCACCGTTACTTTGGAGGAGCGCATTGAAGCTTCCACTAAGTTAACAACCCAAAAACACAGTACAAACACATTCAATATTATTGATCGTGTAATATCTTATATCTCTTTGTTTCTAGATATCTGGAAGCCGCAGAGAGACTCGGCGTAAATCCATCATCATGCCTGGTCATAGAAGATTCTCTGTAAGTTTGTTGTTCCGTACACACACGAAAAGAGAAGACAAAATAAAATATGCATTCTCCTATAACGGAAAACGAAACTGCTCTGCATACGATGCTTTTCTCGTCCGAGCAGTACGATCAGAGAAAATCATCTCTACATGCTATGGCCCACAAACTGAATTACTTATGGTTGTCTCTAATCGTACAGTGTTGTGCAGGAACTTGTCGTACGCATAGCAAGGTTCAACGGAAAATGGCGGCTAAATCCTAATCATTGTTCTCAAATTCAGAAATAGAATGGCAAGCATTTGTGCATTAAAAAGGACATCTTCGGCATTCAGTTTAATTTCTACTTCCAGAAAAATGTTAACTTTCTATTTTGTTGGCAAAATTTTGTTAGTGTTGGAATCCGGGGTGCCAAGGCTTCTGGGGCAAAGGTAGTCGCTGTTCCGTCACTCCAAACTGAAAGGAAACGTTACTCAATTGCCGATCTTGTCCTCTGTTCACTGCTGGACTTCCATCCTGAACTATGGGATCTTCCTCCATTTGACGATCGTAACTTTCTCGATTTCTCCATTCTCCATTAACATTTATTTCAGAAAAAAAAAGTCTGATAGATGGCACTTGTTGCAGGCATTCAAGGTGCATTGCCCATGGAACCAATGTACTTAAATGCTCACATAGGAAATGTGATATCAAACAATACTCATATGATAGTAGCAGGTCCGAGACCTTCCTCCCACTTCTAATATGACAATGACTGCCAAGATTATAGATCTTATCACATGGTGATTTCTAAAATAAAAAAGATAAACATCAAACTTTCCAGATATTGCTCTTGCGCGCATGTAAGTTAAGTCCACGCATGTAAAAGTTCTATTTTCAAATCAATCTATAACATGCAGTATGTAAGAATAGCTATGGTGAAAGATGGAATTGCTAAGATGATGCAGAGAAAAGGCAAAACAAAAAAATGATGACACCAGCATACTAAAGCTAACTTTGATACTTCGATAAAAAAATCCAAATTATTTTGTTACCACGTGATAATACGCTAGTTACCATCTTGTATGTAATGGGTTCTCATGTTGTCTCGCAAAGGTACTCCCTCCGTCCGGAAATACTTGTCATCAAAATGAATAAAAGGGGATGTATCTAGATATATTTTAGTTCTAAATGCATCCCTTTTTGTCCATTTTGATGACAAGTATTTTTGGACGGAGGGAGTAACTATTACTAGGCAACCTATTAAGCATGTCACCATCATGGTAGTAATTGTTAACCATCCGGAGTACATAAGCACCATGCATGGTGGTAGCTAATACTCCATCATCTTAACTTGTATAAGATGTCGCAAGTTAGTCATCTTTCTTTCTGAAATGCTGATAAGTGCTCATTGTTGTTAGTTGCTGATCACTGCAAACAGGTGAACATACCTACGACTCCGTTCCTGGCCAATTATCAGGAATTGTTTTTGGTTGGGCCAAGTTAGAACCACATGGAGTATCTAAGGTGGTTGTCAGCATTGGGTGGGACATTTCGCCGCCGGCTGTTGGAAGAGTGATGGTTTGTACTTTTATTTAATTTTCGATTACCTTTATATATGCACATTGTTAAGCTATAAATTTAAAGGGCTGTTTTTGTATGGGAGGCCAGTTGTGTGTAGGTTAGCATGATATTTTGTTGAGTGATTTGCTTTCATGATTTGGAATTGTGTCCTTTCTTTTCTGTTCTTAAAACTTGTGTCCTTTTTTTTTCAGCACATATGTTTTCTTGATCCCTGCTGCAATGCCAAATCAGGGGAGCCACTTGAGCTACTGTTAGTTGGTTACATCCGGGAGCTCCAAAGCACGGTAATTTAGCCATTTACAATTTGTCTGTTTGCTACTGTATAGTCTATATGGACCCTACATGGCATGCAATGCAGAGCATATTAAGTTAAAGCTCACCACGGGCTAATTTTTTCTACAGAAGTCAACACATGGTAGTCACTAACTTAAGCATTTGTTGCAGGGAAGTACTACATCTCAAGCATTAAGCATTACTGAGGAAGATCAAAGCATCGTGAGGGATGCACTGGACCTCCCAGCTTTCTCCGAACTAGAGGAGCTAACACTCTTCAGTGTGCCTGGGAAGGAACCGTTTGAATGATTTGCCCAATTCGTTCTCACGCAGTGGGCGATGTAGTGTGTTTACTGGATGTGATTAGATATATCTAAAACATACACGATCAGCTGCAAGTTAGAAGCTACATCTCCAAGTCTTATAAACACACGGAGTTGCTATAGCTTATGTAATAAAAAGATGTAAAAAAGTTTGTTCATTTATCACGACGTGTATGTGTTTGTAAAAGATGTAAAATAAATATGTAAAAGATGCAATAAAAACGTGGAAGGCATGGGTTTTGCGTTTGTGCTGGAGAAGCAAAGGTGTGATTGCATAGGGATGCAAACTTGTGACCCTCAGGGTACTCCAGGAATAAAAGTACTATTCACAACCATCAACACATCTATTAGAGTTGGTTAGATGAGTTTCCTACAGTTTACATGCGGACAATCATGAGAACAGTCAGCAGCATGCTAGAATTAGTATGGTATAATCCAGCTATTCGGAGCGATCACCTTCCTGCCGGTGAAAAGTAAGAAGAAATGGTGGAACCTCTCTTCTTTGGGGTTGCCTGTTTCGAAGGATGGATCCAACCCTGTATTTCTCTTTGAATCTCCAGCGGCAGTTCACCTACTACGGCTGGATCAATGTCTTCAACATTGAGCATCCATGTGTTACCGGAACCAGAAGAGTGCACGACGGCCGTGTTAATATTGTCCCTACCATGTTGTTCAGCCTCGCTTGCTCCTGAAGAACTCTCCGGGCCTACAATGATGAATATTTGGCAAGCAAAGAATTATTTTTCACATTGGTTACAATATGCAGTTGATCAATATCCGCAAGCATATAAAGCAGCCTACCGAACCTTGATGGCTGCAAATTAAGCCGTCAAAGTTTCTTTTCTCGTGCTGGGCAGGTTGACTTTGTGAAAGAAACTTCAAAATAGAGCCAGTTCCCTGAATGATTGTTATGAAACATCTGGATGAGTACTCAGATTAGATAAGACATAAGTATGTCACTCAACTACAATAAATTACAAAGCCAGGCATGGACACTGAAAGTAAACCTCTTGCGGCCTATAAAGATGAGTTTCTCACTCGACTTGACCGTTAGCTCAGCATGCCAATCACCCGCTTAGGGTTGGAGTTGAGTGTTACTGTGTTAGGGTGATGGTTGGTAATGAAGTATGGTCGAACGGATGCTGTGGATACTCTACTACTTCTAGTGGAAATGGAGTAACTAGCAAGATACCATCACATACTGACACAAGAGAATGGTGGGAGAAAGAAAAGCTAAGATATAACAATTAACTTGGGAGTTCTAAATTCTAATACCGCTAGTAATAAAGATGAATGGCACGAAGATCTGAAATCAAAGAGGAAGAATGAAAAACTCAAAACCTGAGATCTGTTTCTAGTATTTGGATATAACATCATAATTTACTGAGTACTGAGTTCAGTTTGCTCCATTTTTCAGCCTTTATACAAAGGACCAAATGATACCTTCTCTTAAAATGAAAAACATTGCTAAATGGTAATCTCATTTCTATCTAAGAAATAAAACACAAACAATCAAGTGTTGATGCACTAGGCTAATTGGTGTGACCAAACCTCGCACGTGGGGGATAGGTTCAAATATTTAAGGCACATTAACTGTTAAAAGAACAGAAATTAGCAACCCACGACAAGTCAGTTTGGTGGTCCCTGAAGAGGAAAGAAACAATTTACCTGAACTTTCGATAATTTCTTTGGCACACCTTTTCCTTCAATTGAGCGACATTGTTTGGCTGAAATACTATTGCCACACTCTTCATTTATAGATGATGGTTCACACTGTTCATGAACTGGAGTCATATATAAGTTGTTATCTAGAGAAGCATGCTCACAGTTCAGTACAGTAAGGGCAAACGGAAATTACAGAGTCTGCAATACTGAACTGAGTAACATTACCAACAAGTGGTGTTAACTCAGGTGTAGAGGAAGAATCAAGGATAGCCGAAGATGCATCGGAACTTGGGCCTTTGATATATTTCAAGATTGAGTTCGTTCCCTGAAGCAATTAAAACATAAAATGGTAAAATGGATAAATTCTTTAATGCACTTATTATCTTATCAAGTCAAGCCTGCACACTAAATATAGTTATAAATTACATAAAAGTGTCCCACGCTACATGTCAAAATACGGATAAACTTCCTTCAAATAACAGAGCTATACACCAGAAAAACATGTCAAAGTTGTTATCAAAAGCAGTCAGCAACTAATGTGATGTCCATACGTATTTGGTATGATAAGATATTATGAAATAGCTAATATGGAGTACATCTTATCAAAGAAACAACATGGTCATATTGTCACCTGCTTGTTAATCTAGAGGGGATGATTTTAAACACACGAGTGTATAGAATACCAAGAGAGTTATCACAAACATACACTTGGTATATCAAATATTTTGCTTGCTGTAACAGAAAGAGATGTTATACTCCATCCAGCATTCCGAGAACCCCAAAAATCATGAAGGCCAGATTCGAATAGCTTCATTGCATCTTCTTGAATTTTGCCAGTCCCATAGCGTAATGGACAAGATTTGGAAGGGAATTTCTTCACTGAATTAGACTCATTTTCCTACATATTCCCCACAAGTTAGTAAGCTGAAACTAAAAAGCAATGACTAAATTACGCAAAGTACCTTAGATGCCCTAGCATGGAGAGTTAATGTTTGAGCAACTCTCTTGTTGCAGCTCAAGTCAGACTGAATCCGCTCGCTCAATTCTTCACAAAGTTTATCCAGCCAGCTCTTAACCTACAATGTATGAAACTGATTAGTAATTAATGTGCCAAATTTAAAGAACCCAAAGAAATCAGAAATGACACGGTAACCTATTTTAACTTCGGTGGGATACAGTACCTTAGAAAATCAATCTGTAATGTACGGCATCATTAGTTCCTACATAACTCAAATGGTACAACATGCACTAATCAAACCAGCACAAGGCATGTTGATACCAGTCTGCTTAAGCTCGGTAAGCATGAAAAAAAAGATCCAAAGGACGTTAATAAAATATTTTATAGTATCAACCAAGTAGTTTGCAACCACTGCATAATACCAGTAAGCTGTGTCACTAAATGACAAGACACTCTTCTTGCATCAGGTGATCATTGGAGTTATGAGATGTACATCACTAAGCAACTAATGTTTTAGGTTTCTATCAGCTGTGCACATCCATATAGTTGTCAGAGAAGTTCCTGGATAATCTTTCAAAGTATTTATAGGCAGCTCTAAAGTAGGAAAGGTTGTTCGAGAACAAAAGGCACAACAGGCAGCAGGCATCCTTACAGAAGAATGATTCTTCAATGCTTTTGGGCCAGGAAATGTTTTTCCACAACCATGGCTCTTTGGTAGAAGACGGTCCTCAACTTCTTCTCCGCTAATACCCCTTGCAGTCTTCCATAACCACGTTCTGTGCAAAATCATGTGCTTACAGGATGAGTTTTTATCAAACAATATACTCCCTTTAATCCATATTAATTGTCTCTGATTTGGCACAAAGTTGTACTAAATCAATGAAAATTAATATGGATCAGAGGGAGTACAATTTCTATAATTATAATCTACAAGCATAGTAGCATGGAAATTTAAGTCACATGCTAAAATAAAAGGATTAATAATTGGCAAGTCCAAATCATTCAACGTGGTATCCTAAACATCTGGCACCTGAAATAAGACCAAGCAATATGAAACAATTTACCCTGTATTTACTCCATAGTACTCCTGTAATTTCTCTTCTGTAAAACCTAGAAGATCCCCAACTGTCTCGACCCCCAGATCGCCCTGCAAGGAGCTCCCAAGCTTACCCCCAAGTTGTTTCCTGCATAACATGGACGTGTTTTCATAATTCAGTATCAATCAGTCCTGGAATGTTAGGACTAGAGTAATACAAGGTTTAAAAAACGATGTCCAACAAAAAACAAGAAACCAAAAAATGTGGGGTTGTCATGTAGCTCATTACATCTTCTTCACAGGCAGTGATGCTAGAAAGTCTTGAACTGATGAAGATGGAACAACTGTTTGTTGAGCAGGTTTGTGCATCCCGCTAACAAGTTTAGCTAACATCTGCATAATATAACAACATTTGAGTGGAACACTGCAACAGGAAAAGGAATAGGAAAGTATCAAAAGGGCAATGAAGCAAGAGAAGCACTATGGAGAAGTTGACTTGATTTCCTAAGTTCATAGTACAGTACAAATAATTGGGCAATTTATACTTAAATTTGCAGAATGAGAAGAAGCAAATCATGCAAAAAGCATACTTCATCTACTAACTATTATGACTCGTTATAAACCTTATTGTGAGCAATGCCAGCAGAACAGGTGAATTGGGTTTCCTCCAGAACTTTTACTCGTAACTGTGCAACAAGTATAGCTCCGCATGCCAGCAACTTATCCTGGTAGTTGGCATCTGCTCGACAAAGCCATGCCTTCACATTCTCCTCCCTTTCACCGACATCCTGAACATACATATGAAGGTCTACGATCACACTCTCATCAAATGTAAGAGCAGCCCCAACCAATTTACGGCAAATTTCTTACAGAAGGAAGGTCAAGGATATTTGACTTTGTGGCCTCGTCAAAAATAGACTCTGATGACTCCGGAGGGGATTCCAAGAGCATTTCCTTGGCTGCATCAGTAAGGTCGAGATACACTTCGTCCATGGATGCTCGCTCACACTTCCCCTTAGTCGAAAGGATCGCTACGACCTGAAAGGATCGGACTCGAAACCGTCAATGCCATGGAGCAGTCCTAGTTGTTTAATGCAGTAAATATCAGTGTTTGACACTCGGTTGTTGCAGCAACATACTAGTACCTCGGAGCCGGCATTTCGGTACACATTGAGGTCGGCCTTGTCACGGGACACGGGAACCTGGACTAAGTTTATACCTGGGCAGACATTCTTGGCCTCATCCCCACGCATGGACCTGAATCAATCAATAAAGCATCACAGGTATCTGCCGGGAACTCCGGACCGAGCAAGTAAAAATCGGCCCT